GCAGCAGATTTTCAGGACCTTAATGACTTCAATTTTGGACTTGTTGGGTTTAAGGAGTCTGTGATTTATCTTATGAATACTTTTTGTACAATGAGCTAGTACCCAAGATAGGTGGGCAGCAGTGAAAATCTCATTAGTGTTCTTGCTTGAGGTCAAGGACATTTTTTCCCATCCCTCTCCTTCATTTTGGTCTTAACTCACTGCTCCCATCACCCAAGAGCTCACTCTTTTCCTCCCCTCAATGGAGGAGATCACCATCTACTACAAAATAATTGCAGCTCTTTCTACACTTTCCTATTCAGCACTACTAGGGCTATCTGCCAATCCCAAAGTCTCCTGAACTCCTTCTCCCAGGAGCAGGTTCCTTTTTCCCAAATTGTATTAGTTTCCTGTAGCTGATATAACAAATTATCACAAATTTGGTGGCTTAAAACAACATAAATTTATTCTCTCACAGTTCAGGAGGCCAGAAGTCTAAAATCAGTATCACTGGATCAAAATCAAGGCCACACTTTCCCGGAAGGCTTACAGGAGAATCCATTCCTTGCCAGCTTCTGCTGACTTCTGACATTCCAACCTTCAAGTATCTCTTTGTTTCATCTTCACATCACCTTCTCTTCCTCTTAAAAGATAATGTTCCTTTTCCTCCCCTTTATAAGCACACATGTGATTGCATTTAGGACTCACCTTAATAATCCAGGATAATCTTCCCATCTCAAGACCTTGAACCCAATCACACCCAGAAAGACCCTGTTTCCAAATACAGTAACTTTTACAGATTCCAGGGATTAGGATCCGACATCTTTGGGAGGCCATTTTTCACCCCACCACACCAACTATCCTAAAAAACTTTTGTTGTTTTTAGGTGCCATTGAATCAGTTCTGACTTACAGTGATCCTATGCACAACAGAACAAAACATTACCTGGTACTGCACCATCCTCAAGGATCTCTGGTGACATAGTGACTAAGGCATTTGACTGCTAACCAGGAAGTTGATGGTTCAAACCCACCAGCCACTCTGCAGAAGGAAGACTGGGGAATCTCCTTCCATAAAGGTTTACCACCTCAGAAACCCAAACAAGATCACACCACCCTCACAATCATTGCTATGTTTGAGTTCATTGTTGCAACCACTGTGTCAATCGATCTCATTGAGAAACTTTCTCTTTTTGATTGACCCTCTACTTTACCAAGCATGCTGCCCTTCTCCAGGGACTGGTCCCTCCTGATAACATGTCAAAGTACCTGAGCCAAAGTCTCACCATCCTTGCTTCCAAGGAGCACTCTGGTGATACTTCTCCCACAACAGATTTGTTCATTTTTCTGGTAGTCCGTGATATATTCAATATTCTTCACCAACACCACAATTCAAAGGCATCAATTCTTTTTGTTTTCCTTATTCATTGTCCAGCTTTCACATGCATATGAGGCAACAAAATACTATGGCTTGGATCAAGCCAAAAACTACTCGTTTGTTAAATCTCAGCTGAAATGTTTGAAGTAGTGACCAAGAAAGAGCTAGACTGGTTAGATTAGTATCCTAACTCTACCATTTACCCACTGTGTGACCCTGAGCAGGGTGCTTAATCTGTGTTTCCTCAACTGTACAATGGGGGAAAATAGTTGTACCCACCTTAAATTCTTATTATGAGGATAGAGCTTAGAGTAGTGCCTGCACAAAGGAAACACCATGAGAATGTTAATTATTATTACTATTATTCAGAGAAGATTTCTTTGACACTATCAGGAAAAGTAGGAGGCTCCTTTCTCTTTGCTACCACTGTATCTGGTACTGACCAGAGTTAAAGCAATTATGTTAATAGTATTCTGACAACTACTTACATCATCGTGCCCACTAGATTGTGAGCTTTTTGAGGGCAGGGTCTTGTTATTGCCATTGTAACCCCACAACTTGGCATAGGGCCAGGCAGAAAAGATACTCAATCAGCTCGGTATAACATGTGTTTTCAAATGCAAATTTGTTCCTACATAATTGTTATATTAGGGAACTGAATATAAAATAAACTTTATGTTTTCTTATGCAAGTAAGAATCCTTCCCAGAGAAAGACTAGGTGAAAACAGAAAAATGCATCTAACTGAAGTCGTTAAGCCATGTAAAAATAACCAAAATACACACAAGCACACACCTCAAACATCTATCAGCTATAAGCCACACCCATTCACATCTGGTGTTACAACTTTCCATCAAATTTTGGATAAGCCTCCTTCCAATACTTCATAATAACTCACAAGCGGCAAACCTTCCAATACTAACTTCCACAAGGAAACTTTAGGTATTTTTCAAGGTAAAGTGTCATGCCGATTGTAGTATTTGTGTATTCCCTAACCAGGTTCCTTTTATATATATGTGTGTGTGTGTGTGTGTGTGTGTGTGTGTGTGTATCACTGATGAAATCTTTTTTTTTTTCTTTTTTGAAATATACATTTTTCTTTGAAACTGGAAAGCCAATTAAGATCATAAAATTTCCTTGCTGGACTGAAGCACCAGCATTTTGAGAGAGAGAGATATGAATACATTAATTTAGGACTTGCAAGCTAACTGCTTTTGCTTTTTGTTTGCGGCTATGTATTGTTTTCACTTCACTCATAGTCCCTCGAATGCAATTTTTCAGTGCTGTTACTTTTTTTTTCCATGTGTACAATTTAGTGATACCAATCACATTAATCATGTTGTACAATCATCACAACAACAACCATCACCAACATCCATTGCCAAAATTTCCATCACCACAAACAGAAACTTAATGCTTCCTAAACAATGACTTCCCTTTTCCCCCTCCTCTTGCCCCCGTAACCACGAATAAACTTGTTCTCTCTACATTTGCCTATTCTAGATATTTCATGTAAGTGGGATCATTCACTTATTTCACTCAGCATGTCTTCAAGCTCCGTCCATATTGCAGAATGTATCACTAGTTAATTTCTCTTACTGTATGTTACATTCATTGTATGTATATACCACATTTTGTTTATCCATTCAGCCACTGATGGACATTTAGGTTGTCTCCAATTTTGGCTATTGTTAATAGTGCTGCAATGAACATTGTCTCTGCTTCCAAGTCCTTTGAGTACATACCTAGGAGTGAAATTGTTGGGTCGTATGGTAGCTCTATGTTTAACTTTTGAAGAACCAATAAACTGTTTTCCACAATTTGTTTACCATTTTGAGTTCTCACTAGCAATGTTTAAGGGTTTCACTTTCTCCATATCCTTGCTAACTTTTGTTGTTTTCTTTTCTTTTCTTTTTTAATCTTAGCCATCCTAGTCAGGGTGAAGTGATACTTCATTGTAGCTTCAATTCTCGTCTTCCTAGTGGCTAATGATGTACTGATGCAGTTTTTGAATATAGTGCTCCTAACTCCATTTTTTTTTCATAAGCCCTGTGACTTTTGTGGAATGACTCTGCATAGTGCCATGATTTTTAGGATATGTCTCCGTGAATACCTAAGGCTTCTGAAATTGCGGGAGCCCATTAGTCAGCAGAATCTCTGTTTGGGCCAATAATTAAAAGCAATAAATATTTTTACATGCTAGACATTGTGAGGAGCAGTGGTGATATTGTGGTTAATAAGAAACAAAGTCTACAATTTATTCAGTGTAGTGGGGAGAGACAAACAAGGAACTACAGTAAAGTGGCACAGATGCTATTAAAGAATAAAGTAGAATTCAAGGAGTAAGCAAAGACCTTCCAGAGGATATATGCCTCTTTCCTAGTCCTTTCCACTCCCACTAGTCTCTTTCTTTGCCTACCTCCATCTCTGCCTCCCTACTCTGAGCCTATAGCACTGAGCCAGAGGCAGAGCAGGGAAGAGTTAATGTGGCACATGTGGGAGAGATAAGGGCCCTGAGGGAAGCAGGTAGAACAGCCACATAAAGGGCCCCTCAGGCACCAGTCAAGACGAGAATCTGTCAACACACAGTTCTCCAATCTATCCCGAAGTACTTTCTTCCTCAATCATTTATCCATTTTAGGTTCTTGCTGTAAGGCAGATTCTGGGAGGAGTCAGTTCTACTTGACCTGCTTCTTCCAACATCAGAGACCTTCTTCGTAAGACTGCTACTCTGGGTGGAATGTAATTTCCTCCCCCTCTGTAACCTCTGCTCCTGCTGGCACCCAAGAAATGAAACTACTCTAGTGGGGACCTCTTCTGGACCATGAAGAAGAAAAGGAGACAGAAAAGTGAGGTTCCTTTTCTTGCTGCCATTTGTCTTGTTCTCCATTGCTTCACAGCCCCAGCTGCAACTCTCCAACTGGTTTTCAAGTTCACTACTTCATCAAGTTCAGAAAAATGTGAGCAACCCCAAAAATCCCACCAGATTTTTTCCTGGCAGACCAGGCTTCAATCTTCACTCCAAATCCTATCTACATTCCCCTCCTGTTTTTCCTTTTCTCTCTACTGTCCTTCCCTCTTGGGGGGTTGGTGCCCAGAATGTTAGAATTGTGCAAAGTTTAAGATCATGTGTCCCACTGCCATGGCAGAGCTGAGGAAGCTGAGGTCCAGAGAAGGAACCACCCTGCGTAAGGATACACAGTCAGAGACAGGGACAGCTGAGGCCTGATCCTACCCAGCACTGAACTGCTCTTCATTTACAGAGCCTGAGACTAACTCTACGTGACCCTGAACAGAACCATTCATCTCAGCTCCACCCTCAACTGACCTCTAATTGCCAGCCACTGCAGCAGTCCCACTATTCCCCCTCCTCACTACCATCATCCTCCCATTTGTCCTCCTACAATATTCATGGGTTTTCAGGTACAAAAGATTATCCCATCCTAGCCAGGCTTGTGACCTTGATTTCGATCCCAAACCTCCAATTAAAGGTTATAACTTTGTGATCCTAGTCCTGAACTCTCCTTACATACACTCCATGGATGGGTTTATGTCACTGTGACACCCCCCAAGGTCTCTCCCTTTGTCCTTCCATCAGGAGTCATGCCCACTTAAGCTCTAACTTCATGCTCATCTCCCATCCGGATGGCAGAAGCTCCACAGCCCAACTCCACCTTCTTATACCCAGGCTTCTTCCTACTGACTGGCATTCCAGGGTTAGGGAGTGCCCAGGCCTGGCTGACACTGGTCTTTGGTCCCATGTATATGCTGGCCCTGCTGGGCAATGGAACATTGCTGGCAGTGGTGTGGATAGACACCACCCTACACCAGCCCATGTTCCTACTCCTAGCAACACTGGCAGCCACAGACCTGGGCTTAGCCACATCTATAGCCCCAGGGCTGCTGCCTGTGCTGTGTCTTGGGCCCCAGCCTGTGCCATATGCTGCCTGCCTGGTCCAAATGTTCTTTGTACATGCACTAACTGCCATGGAATCTGGTGTGCTGTTGGCCATGGCATGTGATCGTGCTGCAGCCGTAGGGCGTCCACTGCACTATCCTATCCTAGTCACCAAAGCCCGTGTGGGCTATGCAGCCCTGGCACTGGTACTGAAAGCTGTGGCTATTGTTGTACCTTTCCCTCTGCTGGTGGCACGATTTGGACACTTCCGAGCCAATACCATAGGCCATGCCTACTGTGCACACATGGCAGTGGTAGAGCTGGTAGTAGGTAATACACGAGCAAACAACTTGTACGGACTGGCACTTTCACTAGCCATGTCAGGTTTGGATATTCTGGGTATCACTGGCTCCTATGGTCTCATTGTCCATGCTGTGCTGCAGCTGCCCACCCGGGAGGCCCGTGCCAAGGCCTTTGGCACATGTAGTTCTCACATTTGTGTCATTCTGGCCTTCTATGTGCCTGGTCTCTTCTCCTACCTCACACACCGCTTTGGCCGTCACACTGTCCCAAAGCCTGTACACATCCTTCTCTCCAATATCTACTTGCTGCTGCCACCTGCCCTCAACCCCCTCATCTATGGGGTCCGTACCAAGCAAATCAGGAACCGGCTCCTAGAAACTTTCACATTCAGAAAAAGCCAGTTCTAATGGCATCTTCTTTGGAAGTCAGGTGCTTGGATACTTGTCTGGGATCACAACCCTCTACTTCTGGAGTCAGAACCTGTTTTCAACCTGTTCACTGGGAAGGAGACATACGGGCTTATTCCTTACCTTCTGAGAATCCAGATAATGTGCCCTGGAGTCCCAGTTTTGTCAGGACACTTGTCCAAGTGTCCAAGACATTCCCAGCTCAAAGAATCTTCTTGGTCTCATGTGTAATCACTAGCCCCCTACCCCCTAAAGCCCCAACAATAAATAGCTAGAACTTCTCTCCCTGGACCTGTGGCTCCAGGGGTCAAAAGTCCTACTGAAAGAAACCTTGCTATCTCAAAAAATCTTCTAACCATGTCACCTGCTTGCCTGAGGTCCAAAGTCATTATGACCTTTTGCCAGTCTCCCCTTTTCTGCACCCTCAGCCAAGAATGTACAATCCTCAAAACTCCCATCAACACCCGCATTTGTCATGGCCAAGTGCATGATGCTAGCACAAAATGATGAAACAGGGATATTTCACACTGCTGCCATGGCCAGAGATTATTTAAAGTTACTAAACAGAAAGTGTCATGGTGCTGTCCAACAAAGGATTCATTTTCAGCTAAGACTCCAGACTGGAAAGAATTTTGCACAACAAAAGATCTTTCACACCAGCATGGAGTTCAGAATAAGTATAATCTCAGACAGAAGGTAGGAAGCCACTGTTATGAGGGTAGAGAAAGCTTCAGGCTGCACAGGTAGACCCCAGATCTCTAAGAAAATGCAAAAACATAGGCTTGGAGTTGGCTGTGAAGATCTGAAGCCGGGAGCAACCCAACCCTTTCAGCCCAGGTAACTGGACCAAGTGTGATGCTATCACGCAGAAGAGAAGGTTGCAGATCTGAAAAGCGAGATGATGCCATCTCCAGGGCTGCATAGGATCTCACTAGCTACTCATTAGCAAAGAACTGAAGAGATAGCCCAGACACTCTCAGCAATTTCCAGAGGTGTCATCACACAGAAGCCAAATGGATGAGTAAATCTACAGTTTCTCTCAAACCAAGAGAAGTCATTCTCAAGACTAATTTTTTCATGAAGGTCAGAGTTAAAAAGCACATCAGGCAATGTTTATGGGTTAACAGTGACAAAATTCTAGTTATAATATATGTCCTGAGTTTTTAATAGGTGCATAATTTTCTAGTGATTCTCCTTTAATAAATCTATACTGAACAAATAAAGATGTGAACAAACATGTGTACAGTAAGATGTTTATTACATTATTAAAAGAAATATATGTGTGACAACTCTGTGCCACAGAAACACACATGCACATCACTTTTTTGCCTTTCTCCTCTGGTATATGAGCAGAGAAATCATATCCAGCCAATGTTCATTCACCCTCCCAATCCAGGAAGCCTCTCTCCTAAAGCACTTTCACTCCCCTGGTTGGTCCAAACTCTCCCAAGGCAGCTGGTTCCAAATATGGACACTGTCCACTATAAGAACTTTCTCCCCTCAAACCAAAAATCCACCACCTTGGACATGTGTATTTTCTTCTAAATTGAGATTGCATACATACTTACCATGTGATGTGTTCAGCAGGTTTACCAGCCCTCTCTTATTCCTCACAACACCTAAGAATGAGAAACCCACATCCCTTATCTACAATTGGGGGGGGGGGGAACATCTTAAAGAAAATAAATTTGACCTGAAATCTGACTAGAACCATCAGAATCCTATTTATAGTCTTTATTTAACTCACTTAGTGTGATTATTCACAATTTAGCTGCAAAAATATTATGTTAGATTACAGGGTACTGCCCTGAATCCCACTGAGGTATTTAATATATGGTATATGCACTATATCCCCTTTCCAAAATCTGAAAAAAAAAAAAATGAATTTCAAAACATATCTGTCCCGAAAGGTTTCAAGTAGCTTTTAGGGACTTGTACAATTATTCCCATAGTCTAAGAAAATGAAGAGACTTGTTAGGGTTCTTTATCACTCTAAGTATTTGCTGTCAGCACTATTCTACACTGTTCTACGGGTTCTTACTGAAAGCCTCATGTTCTCTGGATAAACAGCTCCCATCTGTTCTCCTCATGCTCCCACCCCAATCACCCCAAAGATAAGCTGCAAGTGATCTGTGCCTCTTTCCAAAGGAGACACCAGAACATGCCACACTGGAGGCAAATGCTAAGATATGGCCCAAACAGCTCAGATCTTGGGTTCACCAATTCCATGCTTTCCTTTAGCAACCTTGTATCAGTCTTATAAGCCAAAAGAAAGATAAAATTACTTAATGTCAAGATTGGGGAGTGTGAAATTCTCTGGTAATGTAGGGCCTAAGGCACTTGACTGCTAACCAGAAGGCTGGTGGTTCAAACCCACCAGCCACTCCTCGGAAGGAAGGTTGGGCAATCTACTTCCATAGTGATACTGCCTCGGAAACCCAAGGCGGGGTCGCTCTGAGTCAAGTCTGACTCGACAACACACAACAAGAGAATCATCATAGTCAGACAACAAGAGAAGAAAGTGTGGGTAGGACTGATGGTTGGGTGAGTTCGTCTGTACTCCTTCCTCCTGTTGCACCAAAAGCCCATCATCCTGTACCTACCTTACCTACCCTCTTCTCATCTTAGATCCCCACCAGAATCTGGGTGTGCATCATTCCCTGCTTGTTTATCAGTAACTCTCATTGTCGCTGGACCTCTGTATCTGTCTCTTTGCACTGAATATCAGTTTTGTCCCAACTCTGCATCCATTGTCCTTACCTATATATGTATGTATGTAAGTATGTAGTCTCTATCTATAGCTACCTCAATCGGAATTCTTTTTGGTGGGAATTGAGTGCTGATATGGACTAAACTGTGTCCCAAAAAAAGATATATTGAGGTCCTAACCCTGGTACTTGTGCCCACAACTTTGTTTGGAAATGGGTCTTTGAAGATGTTATCAGTTACCTTAACATGACGTGATAGTGGAGTAAGGTGGGTCCTAATCCAATCATAGTGATGTCCTTATAAAATATGAGACTATATACATAGAGACAGCCAGAGGAAGGACATCATGTGACATTTCAATTGCAAGTCAGGGAATGCCTGGAGCTACCAGAAGCCAAGAAAAAGCGAAAGAAAGACATGGAAAATATTTTCTTTCAAAGCCTCAGAAGGAATCAACCACCCTGATCTCAGACTTCCAACCTCTAGAACTGTGAAACAATAAACTTCTGTTCCACTAAGCCATCCAATTTGTCTTGGCCTGGGTACTCTTGAGGAACAGCAGCAACAACCATATATAAAGAGAGACAAACAGAGGAAGGAAAGGAGAGGGGAAGGGAGGGAGGGGAAAGGAGAGCGGAACTAGGAGAGAGAAGAACAAACAAAGAGGGGAGAGAGTTAACATTTATTTCAAGGAATGCCTCAAACAGTTTTGGAGGCTGGCAAGTCCCAAATCTGTGGGTCAGGTGTCAAGCTGGAGGCTTCTGCTGACTCATGTGGTTGTAGGAGCTGATGAACCCAAAATCTGCAGGTCTGGTGGCAGACTGCTGGCTCATGTACCAAGAACCAGAGTCAGAGGTTAACAAGTCAGATGCAGAATCAAGAGAATGAGCTTTGCCAGAACATCCATATATACTGGATGCAGGCCATACCCCCGCCAAGGAAACTGGCTTTCAACTGCTTGGCTTTCAACTGGTTGTTTTCAACTGACTGGCTTTCCAATTGATTGGGTGCTCATATTAGATCACAAAAAGAGGATGACTACATTATATTATGGAAGAGTCCAATGTCTCCCAAGTTGACACATAACATTAACATCACAGTTAACCCCTTGTCAACTTGGCCCCACTACATATCTCCTTAAACCCTCTATAATCACTAAAGACAATTATAAAGTCACACTTGTGCCTAACAAATTACAACTAACATGTGTTGTTGTTGTTGGACAATTATAAAGTCACACTTGTGCCTAACAAATTACAACTAACATGTGTTGTTGTTGTTGGACAATTATAAAGTCACACTTGTGCCTAACAAATTACAACTAACATGTACAGAACCAGAAATGTTTTAGCCCTATTTACATCTTATATTTTATAAGTAATGGGATCAAGAATGGGGAAAAAGCAATATACATATATAATAAAACAAAGAAGAGATACTCATAGCAATAACAATCCTCATTTCTGCAACTGTTCACATGGTCATAAGTATTTAGAACTATCTTCGTCCTCCACTCATTCTGTATTCCCTTTGCCCTCAGCAAGCACCTCAGCTGGTCATGGTTCTTTGCCTGGTGGGGTGAACCAAATATTCATTCCCCAAGGTTCTCAGCCATTAGCAGTCATGTCAGAATTGGGTTCTGTAGTTTTCTGTTGACTTTAATCACAGGGTATGGTAGTACTCACAGACTCCTCAGAGATCTCTTGTATTCCAGACATTATTCTTTACCTCTGTTATGTAGTGTCAGTCAGATTTCCCTTGGTAATCAGGATCAATCACACCAGCCAGAATGGTAATTCCCTTCTTAGCCTGTTGACCCAGAGGCATGAGGAGCCATAAGAGGCCAGGTGGCATTCTTAACTTCCAGTTCAACTGAATAAGTGCTATGTCTCCAGGTGGAAACATTCCTCCCTTTGGAATTAAGACCCCCCCAGACTTGCAGAGCATAGGGTCACAGGGACAGGAAACAAAAATTTTGTTAGTGGGTCACTAGAAGTAATAGTGAGTGGTGCCCCTCCCATATCCACCTCTTGATTCGTGGACTTGTGAATCCTGGCTATGGGTGAAATAGCACCATGTACTAGATGCTGATAGAGAGCATATATAGCCTCCTGGAGAACATTGCCCCAATCCTGCAATTATTACCACCTAGCTGGCACTGTAATTGTGTCTTTAGAAGGCCATTCCATTATTCAAACCAGCTGCTTAGGATGATGGGGAACATGTTTAAGACAGTAATTCCATGAGTCTGGGCCCAGTGCCACACTTCATTTGCTGTGGAGTTCCATGAT